ATGTCTCCCAGTCATTTTTTTCTCCTGCTTATGACATAGCCTGGTTTCTCTACTGCACCACCACATAATTTCTCTCCTTCTATTTGCCATTGGTTTCAGGGGAAAAAAAAAAACAAACAACCCAGCTCCCTGTGATGATGATCTGCATGCACTACAGAAACTTCAAGAGATACATGTGAACTTTGCCTCCTCTCCGTTGCTGTTAGAAGGCTCTTTGGAGACTTTTGTGCTGCACCACGCAGTGCAACGTAGAGGCTGTCAACCCAGCACTGATCTGACTTGGCGTCTCCACATGACAGGCAAACCTCAGAAAAAGTATTAGCTTGGGTTTAAAGCAACACAGTTGTTTTGACATGCCAACACAGTTATATTGCATCTCCTCTAGCACGCGTTTGCATAGAATTAGCACCATGCTTGTGTAATGCTCTCCACCAGTGTCCTGGTTTCAAGCTAGCCATCTCAGAGCCCGCTTGGGTAATTCCTCACTCACCTCAGAGTAAAAATCCAGTGAACATATTAAGTTGTATGTTTTCATGTTCTCTCTCATTTTTATGTCCCTTCTTTATTTTATTAGAACAAGATACTTCCCCATCATACTCTCAGTAAAGGAACGTGGTTTTCTCCAATATAGCATTTTTCAGTGGCCTCTAAACCTGAACTCACTTCTTAGGGTTCATAGTATTTCAGTTTGTCTATAGAACATCAACCTAAGATGGCCAAGATAGGTTAGAGAGACAGGAACATTGGGCAGTTTGCAACCGATAATCTTGTCGTAATGCTTCTCAAAACATTCACAACAGAAGCATAAAGAGACATCCTGCAATTTCATAAACCCTTATTTTGTTTCTAATGTAAAGATATGGTAAATTCAAGGCTGACTTTATTGTCCAATAGTAACACAGACAGAAACGAAAGCCCTGTTCTGCCAGGAGACCTACTGGTAGAGTCAAAGATGGAGAGGTCAAAACAACCACCTGCTCATTCCTCTCATGAGGCACACAGAGAGCCTTTCCTCTCAGGAAAGGAGGTCAGGGATCTGAGGGAAATATATGGGAAGGTCTCCAGACCCTGTGAATCTAGGGCATCTCCAAAGAGCTCCTTGCACATCTGCAGTCACCACTGTCCCTTCAGTGCTGGGGGTCTGTGCAAGCCCAAGGATGGCTTCAGCAAAACCTCTTCCCAAATCCAACCTGTAACCTGTCAGGAAGCAGTTCCGAGAAGGCTGCTTGCATGCTATTAGGCTCCTTGTGAAGTGTCCTTCAGTACTCCTGGGGTTGCTTCAAAGTTATATGGCTTTGCAAAACCCACATCTTACAACAAAAAAACAACAGCACAACCTTCCCAAGAACATTCCACAAAAGGTGAAAGAAAACTAATTCTAATGACTCTCTAATTAAAATCATCTCTAATGTAAACTCTAGTGAAAAATGAAGCATGAACAGCTCTTTCCTAGCCTTCTTGCATATTATAAGGAGGAAGAAAACAACAGATAACTGTGTAAAGCTCTTTCACAGGTCAGCCTGAAGGACTAGTATCAAGAATGACAAGGTCTCAAATCTGGGCTGCCATATTATTCTGCTCCCAGAATCCACTTACTCCTTAGGGGATGTTTTTCTTTCCAGTGCTTCATTACTCCTTTATCTAAACAAAACATAAGTGCCAGCAGCCCAGTGCTTAGAAGCTTTACTCTATAACAACAAAATAGTATGTGTGTGGGACAGAAGAGAGAAAGATAAAGAAACAGTTCAGATTCTTACTTCCAAAGGGTTGCTATAGACAGCAAGAAAACAAATGAAAGTGATGAAGAATGGACCAGCTGTTCAAAAGTTCAGTGTTTACAGAAGCAACTGACAGCTCCAAAAACTCTGCTTCTGAAGTCATTTTTCCTTTACATTCTGCCTCAACCCCACAGCTCACTCACCTTGGAGTCCCAGTTCTTATTCAGGTAATAAATACAGGTGATGCAGCGCCCGTCGCCATTCGGATTGTCCACATGACGAACATACCCAGTTCCATTTCCAGGATAGCAAGCGACCATAGCCTGAATGGAAGATAAAGATTCTGGAAAATGAATTCTCCAGGATGCCCACCCTCAGTTTTTCTTTTCCAGGTCTGGCTCATCCTCTTTTAGATGATCAATCCAAAAGCTGCAGCAGACACCCCCAGAAGGAATTTTCACACAAATTTCTTTCTCTAGGCGAGTTAGCCAGTGTGAGATTCCAAACAGGAAATAAATATCCTTCATATTTCACAATATATACACTAGAGCAGGGAGCAAAAAAACTGAATGAAACTAAAATACTTGTATGCATGGTGCAAGTTCATTGTTCTCTACAAGCTACGTGACTTTCACCTCATTATTTGAAGCAGTTTCAACTAAAGTTTGCTTGGGTTTCTAAAGCTGAGCAGCCATTGCAAAACTGATGCGTCAGTCATAATGAAAGCAGACAGCAATCCCAATAAGTCATGCTTTACCACTATCATCCTCCATATCTTCTAGTCCCTATCACATATATCCCTGTGGTCCAACAAAAATTGAGGTTCCCCAGGAGGTGTGGGTAAAAGTCCATAGAGCAAAGTCTGCAGAAATCTGCAACTCTTTTGTGCTGTGTTTGCACAGGGCAGTGCATGTTTGCTTTCATGGACTGAGCCACAGAACTAACCAAACAGCTTTCAGAAGTGTACTTCTCTTTGATCATCTCCAGACGTGCCGATACAATCGTTCACGGTGCGTTTAAATTTCACCTCGAATGATGAGACAAGCCTAATATGAATTACTCCAAACCACAAGATTGAACTGAAGACAACAGGTCTTAAAAGAGTTTTTACAGCAAAAACATGTTAAACTTGAGTTTACACCATCAGAGCTCTGAGCGGGATGTGGGGAAGAGCAGATGAGACTGTTGGTGGGGTGCCACATCTTTGTCCCGTGATCACTCCTTCACTACTAGTAGTGCTTGGTAGTGAGGTCAGCCACTTTCCATAGAATTTTGTCCACTGAAGCTATGGCAACAGAAGCCTTGCCCCATCGCTCCAACATTTCCTTTCATTGCTTATCAGAACAACAAGCACGGGAAAATTCAGGTTGAAATAGCAAACACCATACCCCGATGCAATCTCACCAGGATTGAGCAGAGGGGGATAAGCTCTCTCCTCACCCTACTACCTGTGCTCCTGTGAATACGGCCCAGGAGGCTGTTCTGCAGGGGTACACTACAGGCTCGTGTTCAGCTCACTGCCCCCCCCCCAGGCCTTTCCAGCTGAGCTGTCCCCTGCCTGACACTCCCCAGCCTGTACTGCTGCAAAGGGCTCTTCCTTCCCAGATGCATTTGTCCTTGCTGAATTTCATAAGGTTCCTGTTGGCTCATTCCTCCATCCCATCCAGGTCCTTCTGGATGGCAGCCCTGCCCTCAAGTATATCAACAGAACATCCCAGTTTGTCAACATCTGCACATCTGACAAAAGTGCACTTTGCGACCTGCTTCAGGTCACTGACAGAGATGTTAAACAGGACAGGTCCCATGACAGACACCTACAGTATCCTATTTGTTACCAGCTTCCTTCCTGGTAGAGCATGACCCATTAATCACTACTCCCTGAGCCCAACCATCCAGTTTTTCACCCATCTAGCCTTCCATCTATCCAGACCACAAACATCCTAACTCGGATACAAGAACACTGTATAGCCTACCCCATAAAATGAGGATGTGATTGTGTAGCACTTGGATGACCTTCCCCTAATAATCTGTCAAGCACAGCTAATAATATGAAGTTGTGACACTACAGGCTTCACCAATGTAGCAATTTAAATTTATTACTACAGAATTTATTACTAGGAAGACCTAGAGGTCTTGTTTTCTGCTTCCTAGCACATGCTAAACTCATGCCATTTTCATGCTACTAGACACATGATCAGTCAGAGTATAGCATATGCCACTTTAATCACAACTTCCTTTTGCTGTGTTGACAAACACTGGGGCGAAATTTATTACCAGCCAGCATAACAGATCCCTTGGACCCTCTGCTACCAAGGACAAAAGTCTATTCACAGGAGGGAGTCAGTTAGGACAGGCACACACATACAGGTGCAAAAATACTGGTCTGTATTTTAAGTCATGTAAAAATTGACTTTCCTTGTTGTTGCCTGTCCTCTCCCATAAACACTGGCACAGGGATACCTGCAGGCAGCAGTAAGTCACCAGAATCCACTCCTCAGCCTGGATACCACAGGCCATGGCTGCTTTGGGGTTGATGTCCAGCGGCAGCAGGAGATTATGTTGCTGAACACAGCAAGTACCTTTAATTCTCAGTAATAAGCCCTCTTTGACCATGCTTGGCACTTGGCTAGATGCCTTGCCTTAGGTCCCATCTGCTCTACTGTCACTCTGCTGTTATAATTGGCCGTGTAGCCTCAAATTCAACAGTATTTCATTGCCAGCCTGAGAACAACAGAAAGATCCAGGCTAAAGTCTGCACTGGAAGCAAGTTTGTTAGGGGGACAAGCCTGGCAGAAACCAAGTCAGAAGGAGCCATATCCTGGCAGAACAACCCTGCTTGTGCATCCCCGAGAGCTCATCGCCGTCTCTAAGGGCCTCCCGCCGTCCTGTCTGCCAGCTCAGCAGCTCCTGCAGCTGGTCCCTTCACCCATCCCAGTCAAAACGGGCTGGATCAATTAAAGAACATAGTAACTCTTGGCTAAATCTGGTCCCTTTATGCTGGGAAACGTGACCTAGGCAGCTGAGAGGGGGCAGAAATTTTGGTTTCCAGTGGAGAGGCAGGAACGAGAGGCCGCAGCCTGGGAGCACTGGGGGAGCGGGTGCTGATCTCCGCTGCTGCCGCGAGAGGATGTGCGCCTATACCGCCAGAACGGCATTTGGCTCAGCAAAGCTCTACTAATCACACCACAGGGAAGATGCATGGCGGGAGCAAGGCTCCATCGTAGGTTGATGCACATTGACTTAAAAAACAAGGTAATAACACAAAATCAGAGGGCAGACACTATTGCAAGAACAGTGAACTGCCCAGATAACAATGCAGTACAATTGCAGCATTAATAATAATAAAATAAGCTGCCGAAGAATAATAGACTTTGGGCCAGATCCTGAAAGGGATTTAGGTGCTTTACTTCCCACCGAAATCTGGGCACAAGGCCAGAGTTTTCCCCTGACCTCCCCCATATAATATGTTCTGTTAGAAGAACACGTGCTTTGACTCTGAGACATTGATGCATTATTTATTTATTTACACTGTGCACCTTTTGCAACTGCAACATGCATAGTCCCTGGGGATGAACAAGTAGAACAATTCCCACAGAATGCCAAAGCACTGGCCACATTCTAGTTTAAGTTTAAAAAAGAAAAAAAAAAATTCTAGCAGCAGCAGCAAAGGGAGAAAAGCAGAAGTGAAATATCCTTTTTCCTGGCATGCAGAATATTTGAATGAAACCTTAAAACAATGAAGGGAAATCATTCTGGTCCTCCTAGAGCCTGTTGAAATGATATCAAGCTTTATCAGAGCACTGGCTGGAGCAGCTCCAGAGCAGATCAAGCTGGCCTCAGCAGGGATTCCAGCTGTTAGCACTGCTTTTGGATTCAGTCAAAGCAAACAAGAAACAGGAGATGAGATGCGTGACCCCGACTTAATTTAAGTAATTGGTGAACATAGGTATTTGCCAGTTTAGTGCATGGGCTAGCCACAAAAGCTGGAGGCTGGATCACATTAATCAAAACAATTAACCCTCTGACAGATGAGCAGAGCATCAATAAGAATCGTTCTCTCCAAATTTTCAGCTGTTGTGTCCAGAAAAGCACACTCCATTTTGGGGAGCACCTCTCTTCACCAACCAACTCCAATGCTAAACTAACTACAGCAGGCAGTAATGAGCAGGAACATGCCTAATGCTTTTTTTTTTTTAAGCGACACAATCCACTGCAATGGATTGTTAGTTGGCTTAATTTTCTACTGTAAGGACTCAGAGCAGGTTTCAGCAACCCTCCCCCCACCTTTTTTTAAATCAAAATAAAGAGTTTCTCTTTACTAGCCCGTTCTTTCTATTTGTGAAAAAACACACAACAGCTGAACAATGCAATGACACATGCACACAGCACAGTTTATCAACTAGACCACCAGATCATTGGTCGTCAGGCTTTAATTAAAGCCTACAAAGCTTGGAAAATAAAAGGCAAATATCAACATTGCAGTTTCTGCACTATCATTATCAGAGATGTTAGGTTTCCCAAGAGGGTGCAAATCACCACCAGTTAAACAAGCAGTAACTATGAGTATTAGTAAGGAGCCAGGAATCTTCAGTAAGTTCCATGTTGCATAGAAACTTGCAAAAATAAGTTATTCATCATTCAATTTTTAAGTATTGCACTCAAGTCAGTGGGAGAAATCTGCAAGTCAATGCAAGACAGCAGCAAAGTTTGGAGAGTGATAACTAAAAAATAAGAATAATAATAGTAAAAAAATCCACAACAACAATGTTACCATAAAGAACTTTTTCCCTGCCTTTCAATGTTTCCAGTAAGCAGGAAACCAAATTTCTCTTAGCTGACAGCCAGGACCATGCTGTGAGGCATCATTCTGCTATATTTCATAAAATAAGTGGAGTTGGAGTGTACTGATACTTGGAAAAATGCGGCAGAGAATACCTTTGCTAGAAAATGCTCACCAACGGAAATGAACACTTCTTAACAGGAAACAGTGATGACAGAAGATCAGAAGGAAATGCTTTTCTTGCCTGCTAGTACTAAGCCAAGGCCCCCGTGTATCACTAGTTCAGACTGTATAGGTGATATTGTAACCTCGCACTGATGCCATATCTTCCTCTCAGAACTAGTATGCTCTTTGCAACCAGCAGAGGAAATTCTGATCTGCACAACTCTGTCCTGCCAACACAAACCATCCTTGCAGATGGAACTAAAAAATCCACAATATGCTTTTTCATTTTCTGTTCCTGTACATCACTGAGCAACTGCTACTTTTGATCCTTAAAGTGGATGAAATCTCTGCACACAACTTGTACAGCAAATAGTTAAGTTCAGAAACCACTTGTAAATTGTTAGATGAAAGGTGTTATAGAAGCACAAAGCAATATACATCTACAGTATCACTATGGCAGTTGTGTTACTAAAGCCAAGATATTAATAAGAATTAATGAGGTTACAGCCACTGCAGCTTTCAGGTTCATTTTTATGTGGCTGCCCACTTCCAAGCTTCCCAAATTTCTGTCCGATACGTGGCTTTCAATCCTGAATTAACAGTCAAAAGTCACATAACTAGATTTTGGGAAACAAGGACTACCAGGATTCACTTCACTGGCCTAAGTCTGAGTGCATATTGTACTCAACTAGGCTTTAGCTTGTAGACTCACATATTCTGTGCAGGCAGAAAGAGAAAACGAAAGGCACACAGCATGCTCCACGTTAAAAGAACATGCGCAGTCTGACAGCTCGTGATCAAAGACAAGAGATTCTCAGTTGAGGCTTGTCTGACACACAGGCACAACAGGGTGTTTCTTAAGTACTTTCTTGTTGCATCCAATTGTGCCCAAGTGTTTTCGACTGTGTTACTTGTAATGGTTAGGCATAAAATATTCATGACTTATTAAATATTAGTTTGTTTGAATTTATGGAAGTTGAAACACTCAACTGCTATACTGAAGCATAAACTAGGAAAATTGGTCTAATTTAATAGTCTGTACAGATGTGAGGGAACAGAGGGAAGAAAATTATGTTAAAGCACGAAAATCAGAGACATTAGCTTTGTGCCTGTTAGAAGAAGAATCGCCAGTTCCACTTGGGGAGTGGATTAACACTGCTCCCTTCACTCACTCAAAACATACAACGGCCTTCAGTGGCAGTGCTGCCTAGAAAGTAGTACCTCATATCCTTGAAAGCGAGAGAGAGGGGAAAGGGTCGGTGAAAGCTTTGAGAAAGGAGCCTATTTTTAGAAGCTAAGAAACATTGGGGGAAAGGCTGGAATTTGGCAGAGCAAGCCACCTGCCTCTTTTCTCTTCAACTTCCATCTTTACACTGAGCCCTAAACCAAGCTGGATTGCAGAACTCCAAGAAGAAAAAAAGCTAACAGAAAGAACAATAATAACCCCTAGGGCAGTTACCTTCTTTCATGAACAAAAGTGGATCAGACTCCTCGAATTCACCTATAAGCACAGTTTATTGAAGACATCCTGAGCAAGCCATTAGCTCATGGAAGCACTCTTACAAGACAAAGGTGCCTTGGTTGCAGGTGACAAGTGTCTACTGAAGGGCTAGATGAGGCCCGACAAACAAGACCATGAAAGATGGGTAAGACACTGTACTGGTAGGTGGCCCAACTACAGAAGTATGGAGCACTGTATCTTGGTGAGATTGACATCATCACAGCTATCTTTGCTCCATGCTCTTGTATATCAGCCTCCTTGAAAATCTGAGACAAAACAAGACAACATTTCCATGGCCAGGGACCCAGTGACACAAAAATGCACCCATTCTCAGAATTTCTCATCTCATCACCACAATGCTGTTCGCTGCCTCCACTCCCCTCCCTTCCCCTTTTTTAATACTATCTTCCTGTTGGGCAAGAAGAACTTACTTCTGTACTAGAATCTTATTTCCAGAGATGGCATTTTAAGCCAGGTGATCCGATATTTGCTTCTCCCTTGGGTATATATGACCTTCATTATCAGATTCAGATCACCCAAGAACAGGGCCAGGGTGGGGGGGTGGCAGAAATTATACCTCTCCCTTTTTGTTTCATTTTGGTCTTTCATATGCACCACTGCAGCTTTACTGCTGTTTCCAAGCACACAGATGTTTCAGAGAATTTTTTGAGGAACAGCCTAATTGCAGGAGAAGGTATTGCTCTCATCTGCTGGGGCGGGGCAGCACGGGGAGGAAAGCAGAGATAGTGAGCTTCTTTGCTTACCAACCAAAAGGCTATTGTCATCTGATACTATTATAATTTCCATAAGATGGAAGACTGTTCCTGCCGATTAAATATCTTCACTAATCACTAGAACTAAGTGTAGAAACAAAGAATTACCCAGGAGAGCTCTAGTCATAGACCATCATCATGCCACACAGCTGTTGATGACTGGCATGTTACCCAGTAGTAGCTCAAGGAGCCCCTAATAAGCTTTCAAATCTTGAGGCGTCTGTATAGGAAGCCAGATCATAGATTCATGTTGCCTTAAAAATGAGTTCCCTATTAAATGAATCTGTGATGGGGCTTAGGAAGCTCTTCTAATGATTGACAATAAAATTTAGTTCTTCATGGCCTGAAGAGTCCTATTAATGTGAAGGACAGTTTCGTCTTGTGAAGATTTTTTATTTCTTTTCTTAGCAGATCATCCACTTAGAGGTATATCTGGATGCCCTTCAAGTTCAAGCTGGCTGCCAGGACGATGACTTTGTGAAGTCGGAAGGCATGGAACAGTCATGCCTTGCGTTAGCAGTGATTGGCTTTGATTGTCAAGAAAATAGGGAGCATTTGCGAACCCAAATTACTGGATTTTGGAGACAGTGGCGAGATTTGTTGAACTGGCCCTGTTGCTGCTTACTTCCTGGGATCCTGAAGAGAAGTGGCTATTCAGGAAGCTGCAAAAGGACCCAACAGAGGGAAAAGTTCTCCAAGCTTCTGAAGAGAGAAATCTCATCTGTGGTTCCCTGAACAAAAGAGACCCAGGCTATTCATCTTCCTCTGTATATCATCTAGACTATATTTTAAAAGCCAAGTAAAATAACACCTCCTTGCTTTCAGATCACCACTCAAATTCTGTGTTCAGCCTCCTGACATGGCTGGGAGAAAGCAAAATACTGAAATTTAAGAGAAAAAAAGAAAACCTAAGATTGCCATAGGATTACAACTGTACTTGCAGTGAATGCTTTCATCTCTTTTAATCACTAAAAGCGTTGATCTCCTTCCTTGTATATTTAGTTGGTCTACATAGTTCCGCGTATTTGCCAGGTAACGCTTTTCCCTAGTTCTTCACTGCTCCTGTCTTGCATTCTGCAAGAGTAAAATCAGGTAAGATTTTTATTTTGCGTTATGCTCTGACCTAAAAGCTACGTATTAGGCTGAAACGTTACTCAGTATTTGTTCTTTGTACGTGCACAGAGACAATACAGTTTTTTAGAAGAGATTCACTTGCTGTGACAAGCAGACTTACCACCGCTTTAGGACCTTTAAAAGGCTATTGCCAGTGAATTAGTTTCAGTCAAGGATATTCAGATTAAGTCTCCAATTAGCAGCTGTAAACATGCGCAATGCATCAATGTATCAATAAAAGCTGCTTCAGTTTAGAAAGACTGCCCGCCCCTTCACTGCTGAGCCCTGGCTCCTGGCCAGCTAGATGATGGCTTAATGACAGTGCTACGTGCAGAGCGTGAGGCTATCGGCAATCAAACACAAACTTTCCTCCAGAGTACACTTCACAGAGAAGCTGTGGAGGGAAGAGGAAAAAACCCACGCTTAC